GGAGGAGAAGGGGTTGTGGCATGGTGATTCCCCACTGGGGGGTGATTTCTCGCTTTTTGTCTATCTCTGTCTCTCTGGTGAGTGCACTGCCCTAGAGCAAAAATTTCTCTTACAAAAACAAAAACAAAAACATTTAAGTTTAAACTTTATTTTTCCATTAAGTGGGAGTTTGGGGAATCTTACAGCCTGACTCATGAATGTTACTAGCTTATGGGCCAGACTTTGGACCATTAATATTTAAGTGGACTTCACCTTCCAAGCAGCTGAGAAAGATAGCATACTTGCGTTTTATTTTCATTCTTACTGATTTTCAGTTTGGGGAATATCCATTTCCCCCCTTCAACAGAAGGGAAAACTGAGGGCTCAGCTCTCTTAGGAGTTTCCTGCTTGGTTTCAAGGACCAGGCCCAAGATAGAAGGTTGGGAGTTATCTGCATAAGGATGGTATGAAAAACCCTGAAACTGAGTGTGAATTTCAAGCTTCTAGGTCCAGGAATTGAACCGCAGTTGCCCATGTGGGAATCCAGAGCCTTAACCACCATGCTACCTGTTGGCCCTGGTTGTAACTTTGTGGATAGCAGTCCTTGCTACTCTTTTCATATCCAACTCAAGAGACAAAAACCATGTTACCCTCCTGTTTTGTTCATTATTAGTTATTGTTTAAGTCTGGGACATGGCTGGGACCAGCAGTTGGCGTAATGGCTATATTGCTTGACTCCCATGTAGTTGATGGTGGTTCAAGTCCCAGACCCGGTAGCTTAAACTCATACCGGGTGTGTGTGCATGTGTGCTCAAATCGCATGGTGATTCCCCACTGGGGGGTGATTTCTCACTTTTTGTCTATCTCTGTCTCTCTGGTGAGTGCACTGCCCTAGAGCAAAAATTTCTCTTACAAAAACAAAAACAAAAACATTTAAGTTTAAACTTTATTTTTCCATTAAGTGGGAGTTTGGGGAATCTTACAGCCTGACTCATGAATGTTACTAGCTTATGGGCCAGACTTTGGACCATTAATATTTAAGTGGACTTCACCTTCCAAGCAGCTGAGAAAGATAGCATACTTGCGTTTTATTTTCATTCTTACTGATTTTCAGTTTGGGGAATATCCATTTCCCCCCTTCAACAGAAGGGAAAACTGAGGGCTCAGCTCTCTTAGGAGTTTCCTGCTTGGTTTCAAGGACCAGGCCCAAGATAGAAGGTTGGGAGTTATCTGCATAAGGATGGTATGAAAAACCCTGAAACTGAGTGTGAATTTCAAGCTTCTAGGTCCAGGAATTGAACCGCAGTTGCCCATGTGGGAATCCAGAGCCTTAACCACCATGCTACCTGTTGGCCCTGGTTGTAACTTTGTGGATAGCAGTCCTTGCTACTCTTTTCATATCCAACTCAAGAGACAAAAACCATGTTACCCTCCTGTTTTGTTCATTATTAGTTATTGTTTAAGTCTGGGACATGGCTGGGACCAGCAGTTGGCGTAATGGCTATATTGCTTGACTCCCATGTAGTTGATGGTGGTTCAAGTCCCAGACCCGGTAGCTTAAACTCATACCGGGTGTGTGTGCATGTGTGCTCAAATCCCAAGAGAAGAATAGAGGAAGAGGGATTGCAATGTGGCCATCCCCCTTGAGGGGTGATTTCTTGCTTTCTGTCTCTCTGTCTCTCTGTCTTCTGACGAGCGCACATGCCCTATAGCAAAAACTCCCCCACCGCCCCAAAAAAAAAAGGCTGCATGGCTGATTTGATGAAGTTTCACTCCAGGTAACAATGTAGCTCTGGATCCAAAATATGTTTCTGGGCAATATTAATAGAAATCCTTAAGACCTTGGAACACAGGCTCTCATTCACTCGGCGTAGATGGACGGCCGGTTTTTGCTGGCTGAATGAAGAATGTTTACCTTTGTCGACATTGGTAGAGTACTATCTGCAGCTATTCCCTGAATAAGACAGTAAATCCTCCACAGAGTTTCTAGGTTGTCTTTCATCCAGAGGCCTCAAAGGAGCTTTGTGAACACTGTGTCATTATTAGTCATCCAACCTGCCCAGGGAGGCAAGCAGTGGCTGTTTCAGAAAGAGAAACTGAGGTTCCCTAAAGGTTTATGTGATTTCTAAGGGTCCTGAACAGGGCCAGAAAGGAGAGCTGGGCACCCAGCCCAAATTCCTGTCTCTCTGGCCAAAGACCCAGCCCCGCCCCAAAGCTTTCCTTTTGGTAGAAAACGCAATTTGCTACCTTGATCTACGGAGCAGAAATGAACTCTGAACTCGTCTTCAATGACACGGGAGACCAAAGCTTATTTTTGAAGTGACTTCAAGTCATAAAACGCCTGATTCACTGTATTAAATAATAACACTGAAATAAGGAAATCGCTTTGTAGTCATAATGATAGCTTGGACTTAAATGGTGCCTGTGCTCTAAAACACAATACAGTTCACAGGCTGCCAAAGACCTTTGGTGTCTATTGACTGAAACTTTTATTTTTCATATTAATTTTTTATTTTCTTTTTAGGCATGAGGTCTTGGTATGCTGCCCAGGCTGGTCTTGACCTCCAGACCTGCTGTCTTAGCCTCTGGAATACCTGGGCCCGCAGGGACAGGGCACCATGCTTGGCTGGTGGCACCTCTTTTATTTTCCATTTGGTTTTTAATTAATAATCGTCATTGTGCATATCTGTGGAGGCACAATGTGATTTTTCAGTACACAAACACATGCGCGATGGTCACATCAGGGTAATTAGTATCCCGCCACCTCAACTGCCATTGCTTTGTGTTGAGAACATTCAAAATCCTCTCTGTAGATACTCTGAGGCCTACTGTAGGTTGTTCCTAACAATATCCGCCCAGCTGTGTCTTATAACTCGAGACATTTCTCGTCTCTATATGTCGTTTCTGATCATCAGCATCCCTTGGTCCTGCCCGCCCTCCCAGCCTCCGATAGTCATTCTTACCTCTCTTTCTTTCTTTCTTTCTTTCTTCTTTTTTTTTTTTTTAAATTTTGCCAGAGGGAATTTTCTTTACAAGCCAAATGATGTATAGCGATGAATTGAAACCAAATAGAGTTAAATGAGGAAATGTTAAAAAAAAAAAAAAAAAAAGAAGAAGAAGAAAAAAGGGAGAGAGAGAGAGAATGTGCTTCTGCCAGAGGGAGTCCAGCACTTCCTAGAGAGACAGGGAGGAGGACAGGCAGGGGAGTGAGAAAGCACCCGCACACGTGGGGCATGGCCACGCCACACTTTCTTCTCCTCCATCTCGCCCTCCTGGTAGGATTTTGGGCATGCACCAGGTGTGTTTTCTAAGCTGTGGGAACTCGAACTGTGAGGTTGGCCATGGGGTGTCCACATTAACCACTAGGCCACAGGCTGACCCCATGTCTATTTCTACGAGGACTTCTTTCTCAGTTCCCACATGTGAAGAGAGCGTGTGGAGCTTCCTGTGCCTGGCGTATCTCACTTACCACAATGAACTCCCGGCCCACCCGTCTCACCTGGAGTGACACTGCCCCTCATGCTTTTCTGTGGCTGGACGGCACTCACCCCTCTGCGGTGGACACTGACTTGGGCGGCGGGGCGCCCTGGCTGTCCTCACTAGTGCTGGTGAGTGCTGGCTGCCCCTTCACAGCTGCAAGTCCCCTCCTCCTCGCGGCCTTCTCACTACCCCTCCCCTTCCCTCACACATCTCCTTCCTTTTCCTCCAGTCATTTCTTCTTATGCCTAGGAGCTCTCGAAGTGAAATTACTGCCCTGCTATAGCTGGACGTGAAGAAAGACTTCCAGGGGCCCACTAGCCTGGTGGTTAAGGTGGCTGAATCCTACATGACTCACCCTCAGTTCGAGTCCCGGACCCTGTGGCCTGAAAAGCAAATTGAGCACGTGTGAGTGTGTGCCCAAAATCTGGAAAGGAAGGAGGGAAAAAGGGATTGTGACACGACCTTGTCCCATGGGGGGTGCTTTCTTGCCCTCTCTCGCTCTCTCTCTCCAGCAAGCATACATGCCCTCTGGCAAAAAATAATAAAAATAAATAATAAAAAAAAGAAAGACTTCGAAGCCCCCTGGAAGAGGCCTCGCGGGGATGTGCTGGGAGCCGCTCTCGGAGGTGAAGGCGCGATGCTGCGAACACTCGTCTCCCAGCCCCTCTCTAGTTGGACTGGGGCCTTCTAACCAGCTCTGGCCAATGGAAGGGAAGGCAGCTGAGAACGGTGCTCTCTCCGTCTCTCCAGTAACCTGCTGCAGCGACTATGACGTCACACCTTCCAGGTGGGACAGCTACAGAGGATAGGTGCCCACCTGGCTGGACTTGGCGTGAGCAGGAAACAAACTTGCATCAGGTTATACACCTGGGATCTCAATTGTGGCGACTGTTGTCAATTATCCCAACACCCAGAAAAGAGTATTGGCATAGTGAAAAAAGTCTGAGGTATGTGGCATTTGCTTACCAGTCAGGCTGGAAGCACGGCTACCCATGATATGCAGAAGACCGTTGAGTGAAGCTAGGTTTGCGTAACTTGGAAGGCGGACAGGAGCTGGCTGAGTTCCTAAGTCAGGTGGGGGCAGCAATTTTTTTTTGCAAAGAGCCAGACAGTAAATATTTTCAGCTTCATGGGCCACACACGCCTTTGCAACAATTCAGTTCTACTGATATAGCAGGAAAACAGCCATAGACAATATATAAACAGCATGGGTATAAACCAACCGAACTTCATTTACAAAAGCAGGTGACTCTCTAGACTCAGCCCGTTGAGTGTCACTTGCCGACCCCTCTTGCTGATCCAAGAGTTTCGATAAGAGACTGTTAAGACTGTTACCATTGGCTACGTTCAACAAGCAATCATGATCAAGAGGTGAGTTAAAAAAAAAAAAGTATGACCAGTTTCCAAGCAGAAGTTAAAGAGAGAAGTTGGAAATTTGGGCCCCCAACTTTCCATAAGCTGTGCCTCCCCCACACCGACTCAGATATGGAGAAGGAAGAGAAAGGCACAGGAGGAAACTCCTAGAGAGCAAATCAGGGGCGGAGGCATGTGTGTGGAGGGGTGGTGGGGAAGTGGGGGTCCATGTTCCAACAGAGACCTGGAAAGAGCGGAGAATATGCTAAGGGAGTGCGAGTGGGGAGGGGGAAATGGTACCTCCAAAGATCCACAAGGAGGCCAGGTGGCTGCGCAGAGGAAAAGCAGTGTGCGGGTGGGTGGGGAGCGATGGTAGAAAGAGATGGCGGCAGGTGAGGGGATGCATAAGAGCAGTCTTGGAGGGTGCATCACACAGGACCTTGCCGGTGATTTCGAAGGGCTTGGCTTTCATCTGGACGACTTGGGCAGCTACAGAGGGTGTTGAGGTCAACAGGGACAGGCTCTGACTTCTGTCTATGAAAGAATTATTCTGGTTGTTGGACTGAGAAAAAATGAAGCGGGAGAAGAGTCTAAGTACCAAACTCAGCTCGGAGCCTTTTGCAGCAATCTCAGCAAATGATCATTCATTCATTCATTTATTCACTGTACAGCATTTCTTTTTCTTTTTTTTTCTTTTTCTTTTTTCTTTTTTCTTTTTTTTTTTTTTTGAGAGGTTTTAGCTATAGGGCACATGCCAGAAAGACAGAGAGAAAGAAGACAGACAGAAAGCAAGAAATCACCCCCCAGGGGAGATGGCCATGCCGCAATCCCTTCTCCTCCATTCTCCTCTCGGGAACGAATGCACATGTGCCCGGCATGAGTTTAAGCCACCAGGTCCAGGACTCGAACCGCAGTCAAGTACATGGGAGTCCAGTGACATAGCCATTATGCTAACTGCTGGTCCCTGTACAGCGTTTCTTGGCCACCTCCTAAGAGACATCACCAAGCACAGTGTTTCTCGCTTTGTGAAGTGATTGTGGGGGGGATTTACTCAGTGACGCTGTGTCCATGTCTTGGAAGAAAACCTGATTGCCACGATGTGGTGACGTGTTGTGACTTCTCGAAGAGCTGGGAGCTTGGAAATCCACAAGAGAACATTCCATTTTTAACTTTGGTTAACTCAAAAGCTAACTTTCAAGTCTGAACTTTTGAGTTTAATTTTTTAATAAACTTCTAGTTTATAAATTTAGAGGATGATAAATGATATCGTTAAGGTCAGGTGACATTTTCCTTTGTTATTTGTTAAGTTATACAGTAAGTTTTTACTGTTGGGGGCCGGCAGGTGGCATGGTGGTGAAGGGCACTGGACTCCTATAAGGCCGACCGTGGTTCAAGTCCTGGACCTGGCGGCTTTCTCTCTCTCTGTCTCTCTTTCTCTCTCTCTCTCTCACACACACACACATACACACACACACACACACACACACACACACTCCCTCTCTGGTCAAATTAAAATAAATAAATAAATAAAGTTAAATAATTATTTGGAAAAAGAAAGTTTTTACAATCTCTCTTCCCCATCAGGATGATTAAACTGTTAAAAGGCAAGGTGTGATTTTGAATTGGAACCTGAACTGGGAAAAAAAATCTGTAAGAGTACTATTGAAATAATTGTCAATATTAGAATATAGATTATATTATATATTAGATGATAATAATATTGTATTAATATCAAATTTCCTTAGGTTACAACCAAAGTGTATTTTATAAGATGATAGCCTTGCTCTTAGGAAATATACACCTTAGTGGTAAGGACAAAGGGACACATACATATACATACACACATACATGTGTATCCATGTGTGTACATGTGTGTACATGTGTATCCATGTGTGTACATGTGTATCCATGTGTCTACATGTGTGTACATGTGTATCCATGTGTGTACATGTGTATGTATGAGAGGAAATAAATATGGCAACTTGCCCTAAAATGGTCTAGAAAAATCACAATAATACATAAGTGTGTATATAGGTATGTACATACACACAGGTATGCATGCCTATACACACACATATGCATGTATACACGTATATCTATACAGATGCGTGTGTGTGTGTGTGTGTGTGGCCTGGGCATCAGTACTTTTCAAAGTTCCCCGCGTGATGCTCCTGTGCAGTTTGGAGGCCACTGATCTGCCCTGTATTACCTCCTCTCTGAGCGTGGCCAGGGCCCCAGGTGTGCTAAAATCTTCCAGGTCTCTGGCATTGTTCTTCACTGCAGAGAGCATCTTCCTTCCATTGTTTTCATTGTAGTTGCTGGAGGGCATGTGCACTCACTAGAAAGAGACTCTTACTAGAGAGAGAGAGAGAAGGAAAAAGCACCCTGAATGGGGCATGGTCACACTGCAATCCTTTCTCCCCCATTTCTCCACCCTGTTGGGATTTGGGGCATACACACACATGCGCCTGATGCATTTTTTAAGCTGCTGGGGCCAGGATTCTTACCACAGTTGCCCCCGGGGGGGATGGGGGGGCTGACTCTTTTAACCACTAGGTCCCGTCTTTCCCTGATCACCAACCTTGCGATCCTCATCTGGGGTGTGGGGTTACAGCAGATGGGAGGCACCGTCAAAAACCACCTGCTTGCCCTGCTCCATGGCTTCTCCACAAGCTGGGCAGTAAGAGAGTGCGTGGAGTTGCTGGACATTGCCGTGGGAAGTTGTCCTTCTGCAAGAGGGAGCAGTGGGGAAAGAGCCCCAAAGGGCTTTCAGAATCTTACCTCTGGGAGCCAGCCATGGTGAGACAAGCAGCTGCCGCAGCGGGCTGGCCTGGGAATGCACGCCTGTGACTCTAACTGAGAGACTGGGCAGGAGAATGGAGACACGGTGAGACCTCTCTCCATCGCTCTCGTTACAAAGAAGAACGGTGCATTTCAGTGACTCCTCTGTTGCAGTCTAAAGTCTAGGCCTTCTCTCTAACAGCCTGGACAAGCCATCCAAGGGTCGCAAGAAACGTGTGCACCTGCAACTGGCAATTGAAGGACAGGCCTCTGATAATAAGTATGGAGTGGTCAAGCAGGCCGTGCCTAATCACTCCTGCAGCTTCGACGTGCTCTTTGCCCCATTCCCTTGGCAGCTGCTGTCCTCCCACATTCTTCTAGAGAGAGTTATTTTCAGCACCCTTGGCATGCCAGCTTGGAACAGCTGCTGGCATTGCAGGGAGCCCCACGCAGGTGCTTTTCACTTCTATTGCCCCTGCTTCCCGACTAAGAGATGCGTTCCAAAGCAATGGGAGCAGGTTACTCATTCAAACGCTGTTAACAAATAACAGGACCGAAGTGTGTAATAGGTAGTTACCCGGCTTTGAACATTTGCCCCGAAGAGTTAACATTTATGCTTCACTGGAAATTAGAGGGGAGGGGGAAATCCTTGGGGAGGAATTTTCTGCCCCTGGAATTTTATGTCTGATCTTCCCTAGCATCTGAGCTGGAACTGGAGATCCGGCATGAGATTGCAGGAGAGGGCGGGCTGGGGACAGTTCTGGGGCCTGCAGGTGTTCAGTTCCCGTGCCAGCCAGGGAGGGCTGCTCCCCCTGCGCCAGCAGACACCCGCCAGGACTTGCCGGGGCCCATGTGAGGGGAGTCAGCTTGTAAATGCCTCTCTGGATCATCACTGCAGGCTGGATCCAATCATAGCCGGCGGAGAGCAGAGGCTCCGCAGCCCCGGCTGCAGGTGGAGGGCTTTGGGGAGGAACCTCATCAAACTCTGGCTGCGGGAGCAGCAAGGACACACCGTACATCCCAGCAGACTGAATGTGACAGTCACCTTCTCGCCATGCTGCCAGTCAAGAGCCACTGAGCCCGTTGTCCACCTCTACTTTAATTTTTTTTTCTTTTCTCAAATACTCCCAGGTGTCCTGTGCCATGGACGGTGGGAGCAACAGCCTTCAGAGAGGCTGCACAGAGTACACAATCGATAAATGTCAGTTCTCCTCTGTGGTCTAAGGAAATACCCAGGGAGGGCCGGCAGGGGGGCGGTGGTTAAGGCCCTGGCCCCCCCCCCCCACAAGGTCAGCTATGGTCTGAGTCACAGGCTTGACAGCGTGCTTCTCACTTTCCCTCCGTCTCTATCTCTCTGGTGAAATGAAAAATAATAATACATAAAGTTAAATAATTCTTTTTAAAAAGGAAAGAAAGAAAGGAAAAGGAAGGAAGGAAAAGAAAGGAAGAAAGAAGAAAAAGAAAGAAAGAAAGAAAAAGGAAGAAAGAGAAAGAGAGAGAGAAAGGAAAGAAAGAGAAGAAAGAAAGAAAGAAAAGAGAAGAAAGAAAGAAAGAAAGAAAGAAAGAAAGAAAGAAAGAAAGAAAGGAAGGAAGGAAGGAAGGAAGGAAGGAAGGAAGGAAGGAGAAAGAAAGGAAGGAGAAAGAAAGGAAGGAGAAAGAAAAAGAAAAAGAAAAGGGAAGAGAACGAACCTGGGTCCCCAGGCTGCCATGTGAGAGGCGTGGCTGGGGGCGCCCCCCCAGGCGGGCAGGAAAACGGCTGCTGCCGCCCTACGAGGCGGTCAGTAACCCGACATCAAGGATGCCCAGACTCCCTGGGAGGGCAGGAGGGGCCCTGGCCTGGGCCGGCCAACCCCCAAGGACTCTGGAGTTCTGCTCCTCTGTGGACAGGTCGGAACCCAGGAGTACTCGCGGCGGAGGAATTCAGAGGCCTCTAAAGTGAGAAAGGGCGATCCACCTAGGAGCTGGGGTGCCATGACAGGGAGAAGGCAACAGGAAAGGGCTGGCCCTGCCTGCGAGCCGGGCTGGGGAGAAGGTGGGTGATGAACTGCCCCTTAGCCCTGCTGGAGGCTCCAAGAGGGCGAGCGGAGGAAGGAAAAGCAGAAAGAGGAGTCAGGGGTTAAGCACCCCTGTTCTCCGGTGCTGAGAATAGCGGACTCTCCTCAGGGGAAACTCAGTCCCCCTCGTGCCTCACTTCCCCTTGTGGAGTTGACCTCGAGGGTTCCCCAGCCTGCCTGGGGCCACCCACCGAGGGCGACTCAGATTAGAGCTAGCGAGGGAAGGCATTCAGGGCCCCACCCAGCACTTCACATATCTCCCCTCCGATCTCGTCAGTGCCTGAGCTCCTAGGATCCACAAAGCGGCTTTTTCTGCGTAAATCAATCCTCTTTCAAAGTGTGCTTGTCTTGGATCCAGCTGATAGGAATCTACATTTTTACGATAGCATTTTAATTAAATTTGCATTGATCTATTGATTTTCATACCTGGCCCCATTCCAAAAAGCGTTGGAGGCAGCTTCTAAAGTTTCAGCGCGATAACTACTTTGATAACCCTGGCTTTCCACCGGCATCCCAAAGGCCTGCATCCACAGCCGGAAAATGAAGATGGTTGCTCTACAGCAGTTCGTCAAGTGACTTAGAACACCTGGCCCCAAGCTTCCGTTTCATCAGCCAGGCCCCGCTATACCCTGATGGTTCCATACGGTGGTACACAGGGACCTACGAGTGTGGTAGGCTGTACTATCCGGGTTCATGTGCACACATCCTTTGACGTTTGCACAACCACGCGTTTCTCAAAACGTATCTGCTAAGCCACGCATGAGTGTGTGGGGCGCGGCAAGCGATAGTGCTGGCATTCTGGTCACTGGCCTTGTGGGTGCAGTCACAGCATCTCAGCACTGTCGCGGCACCCCGAGCTTCCCCAAGACCAGGGCCTTCCCAGCATGATGCTAATCCTGACCTTGGAGTCTGGATTTGGGAGAGCCAGAAGGCTTATTCCTTTGTTAGGTGCAGAGAAAAGAGAGGCACAAAAATTGCAGTGGAAAGGAGTTTTTTTTTGTTTGTTTGTTTGTTTTTTTTGAGAGAGATTTTTGTTAAAAGGTGCACTTGCGAGAGAAACAGAGAGACAGAAAGTGAGAAATCACCCCCCCCCCCAGGAGGGATGGCCAAGCCACAATTCCTTCTCCATTCTCCTCTTGGGATTTTGGGCACATACACACACAAGCACCCAGTGTGAGTTTTGAGCCGCTGGGTTTGAGACTCGAACCACAGTCGACTACGTGGGAATCCAGCAGCATAACCATTATCTGCTGGTCCGGGAGAGGGGCATTTTGTTCAAAGCAGAGGAGGAACCCTGGAATAGGGACTTTCTCCCTTTGAGGAGCCCCTGCAGTACCCCAGATCTTGCCAGTTTGCATCCCATCCCACTGGGAGTCAACTGCTCCAAGCTGGAACTGTGCTGAAAGGTCTCTTGACGGCTGCCCAGTACAGAGGGGAGAGGTCCGTTTTATCCTTGAGGGCTTCTGTGGGAGGTCCTGCTTCTAGGGGCTCCCGCACTGTGGGAACCTGGAAGGCATTCCTTCCACCTTCACAGAAGTGGCTCCTGGGAGCTGCAATAGGACTCACCTCTGGTGTTATCTCTGACACCCACGAAATCCATGTGAGGAGCTGGGCAGTGGTGCAGCAGGGACACAGCGCTCCGCAGGAGTGACCCCGCGGAAGGTTCCAGGTCCATGACTGGACACCTCCCTGAATACACATGTGGGCGCACATGTGCCTACAATCCGTGCTCACTGAAGCTGGGGATGGGGGAGGGTCACAGTGCCGGGACCCTTGGCACGCCTCTCTCTTTCTGTCCATCTCTCTCGCTCATAGAAAAAAGAAATAAAAACTTTAATAAAAAGTAAAAAAAGCAAAGGCCTAGTGCAACCTACCCTGGGGTGAGAATCAGGGTTTTTGCTTAATTCTGGGTATGATCTGTCCCCTCTCAGCCCAGAGGGCAAAGAGAGGCCAATAGGGGCCAGCAGGTGGCGCGGATCATGCATGGCTGACTCCGTGGTTGGAGTCCCAACTCTGGTGGCTTAAAAAACATGCAGAGTGTGTGTACCCCAAATTCTGATAGAGTGGAGGGGGCAGGGATTGCGGCGTAACTCCCCCACACACACACACACACACATCCCCCAGGGAGTGATTATTTCTCACTTCCCCCCTCTCTGTCTCTCTGGCATGCACACGTGCCCTATAACAAAAACTGAAAAAGATTAAAAAAAAAAGTAGGAAACATATCAAATTAATAATAATAAAAAGAGGGCAATAGGAACAAAGAAAGAACGTTCTACTGAGTCGCATTGTTTATGAATTTAAAACGTGTGCCTTCTTAAGAAAACAGCAGGGAAGGCTTACGTAAAGCATGAGACAAGAGGAGGTATTTAAACAGAAAACGAAGCCGCTCCCCGCTGGAGCAGAACACTTGCTTTCCAAACACCAGATTGAGCGTGGAGGAGGGCGCGAGTTAAGAGCTTTGGTTTGCGAGTCCGTCAACACCTGGCATTCATCGCCCTATTCATTTTCCAAGCGCTTATGCAAAATGCTCTCACCATGTCACAGAGGAAGAAACTGATGCTCAGGGAGAGTCATTGTCTAGAGACCCACAGCTGCTCGGTGGTGGCACGAGGGTTTGAAGCCAGGCTGGACACTGTGCGCCCCCACCCTTGTCCAGGGCACAGTACTCCTCCCCGTACTGTCACCACCCCTCATCACTCGGCCCTGCACCGCCCACTACGTGGTCAAAGCAAAGCATGCACAGCCTAAGTGAACCTCAGTCCTCGGCTGGGCTACACAGCAGTGCTGCGTGTTATTGCACTGTGGATGCCCGTCAGTGGGGCGGGTGCTGCCCTGCACACCTGAGCTGCTCCTCTCATTTAGGAGCTCTGCTCAGTCCCACTTCAGCTCCGTCTTACTTTGACACTGGAATGCCCTGGAGCTGCGCTGGGAGGCTGCATAATCCTCTTCTGTGGTTTCTAGCCCTAATCCTTTAGGAGCTGATTGGTAGTGAAGGTGAGTGCTCAGTAGAGACAGTTTTCAGTAGGCTTGAATCAATGCTGAGCTTCTTGGAACAACAGGGCTTTGGGAGGAGGCAGAGTGAGCTTCTGAGTTATGGACCACACCACAATGGAAG